TTGTGTAATTCCATTTATATGAAAGTCCAGAAGAGGGAAATCTATACAGACAGAAAGTAGATTAGTGATTGTTTAAAGCTGGGATGGGATTAGGGATGGGAGTAGGGAGGTGATAGCTAAAGAGGATAGGATTTCTTTTTGAGGTGATGATAATGTTATAAAATTGACTGTGATGATGGTTGCCCATATCTGTAAATATACCAAAAACCTTTAATGGTACACTTTAAATGGGTGCATTGTATGGTATATGAATTATATCTCAATAAAGCTGTTTTTTCACAAAAGGAAAGATCAAGTCTAGAATTGTAAAAAAAAAAAAAAAAAAAAGGAAAGGAAGGAAGTTGGAGATCTCACAGAATTTCTGGTGGGGCTGGGTTACCAGGCTCTGAGTCTAAAACGTCCAGAGTCCTAGGCAGGTATGTTCTAGTGAAACGACCGCTGCTGCCACCTCTGGGCACCGGACACCCCAGCTTCCACCTCCAACACTGACCTGGATTCTGAACATTGCCCCTGAAAGTGCTGCCATCGTTGTCTATGGAGATGGCACATTAACGCCACCAGCCGTGTCTGAATGGATTTTGTCCCCATCCCTGCCTCTTTGCCTCAGGAATTTCCAATTCAAAAAATGCAGCGAGTGCTTCTGACAGGCAGAGCCCAGGCCATACACCTATGCTGTACCTGCAAGGGAGACTGGAAAGTATCTTGTGTTTTCAGCATGTATAATAGGAAGAGGCTGTGCCTCATAAGCTGGGTATCCCTCAAGCATAGAAAGGGATTTTAGATGCTGAGTAGCAAAACAAAAAACAAAACAAAAGATCCACTAGTCTTTTTGTTCAATTTTATATTAGGACTGCAACCCAAATTCCTATACTTAGTCTGATTTCTAAGCAAGCTCATTTGAGATGCTAAAAAGATCAAGATTATAGGTTTGATTTCCATGACTGGTTTTATAATCAGTTAGTTACTTTCTCTTTTATAACCTTACTCAGCAGTCTCACAAATTATTTCCTGATACCAAGGAGAATCACGTGAAAGAGTATGGATTATTCATTGCAAAACCATTCTGACCTTGGCAGGGGTAGGGGTGGGGGTGGAGAAAATTCAGATTATTGACCTTGCTGATGTGGGATTAGTCTTCAATAAAATGCTAATGTATGTAACTATCTGTAATAGTCTAAGGTGACTGGATAGATTTTATCACTGAAGTTGATAACTTTACCTTTCTCTCTTCAATTTTTAAAGCCTTATGAAATGTTTGAAAATGCAGTTAACATAGTTCATGATTTCAATAATTAATGTCAACAATTCAAACACTTTAGGATGTCTTCTGGAGCATAATAGTGTGTTAAAAATCATTGTAGATTAGTGAGTCTTGAGTTTTCTTCCTGAGAATTCTACATATCAGGACTTTCTTCTCAGTTCTATTTAATTGACTGTCTGGTGGTTTTAAACTTTGACCAGTTGCCAAAAAGAATGAAAGGTTAAAACCAGTCTTGAGAAGTGTTGAATACAGTTCAGGCTGGTAGTGTGTTGTTTTGATAAAATAAAAATAAACGCAATTCTAATAATTGACAAAACTTTTATTTTAGTCTGTTCTTCACTCCAGGAGGTACATATTTAACCAAATAAAAGTACAATATATCATTAATCTAGAATAAATTATTTGACATTAAAACTAAAATAACCATCATTTGCCCCATAATGTAATGGCACTAAATAGCTAGACTAACAGTTTGAATCCTGGTTCAGCCACTTAATTGCCCTAGGACCTTGGAAAAATTACTTGACCTCTTTGGGCCTCAGTTTCTTCATTTGAAAAAAGGAGATAAATAGCATCCACTCATAGGGTTATTATGAAAAGTAAATGAATTAACATAAGGAAAGCACTTAGAACAATATCTGATGCATGGCAGGCAAAACTCGATAAATGTTAGCAAATTATCATCTCAGGAATTTGTTGATTTATTTTGTTAACTTTTTATTTTGACATAATTTCAGATTTATAGCAAAGTGGCAAGAGCTCACTCTATATACCCTTCACCCAGCTTCCTCAAATGTTAATATTTCACCACATTTGCTTATTCTTGACCCTGTGTGTATGTGTGTGTTTCATTCTGTTTTTAACCATTTAAAAGTAAGCTGCACTCATGATACCCTTTTACCTTTAACAGCTTCCGGGTATGTTTCTTTAAAACAAGAACATTTACTTACATATCCACAGTGCAGTTCTCAAAATCAGGAAATCGTCATTGATACAACATTGTTATCTGATCTTCAGACTTGATTCAGTTTTGCCAGTTGTCCCAATAATGCACTTTATAGCAGAAGGAAATCCCAGATCATGCCTTGAATTCTATTTCGTGTCCCTTTAGTCACTTTAATCTGGAGCAGTTCTTCATGAGGTTTTTTTTGTGTTTCAAGACCTTGACATTTTTTGATACATCCAGTCCAGTTATTTGGTAGAATGTCCTTCAATTTGAGTTTGTCTGTTTCCTTGTGCTTAGATTCAGGTAATACATTTTTGGCAGGAACACATAGAAATGATGCTGTATTCTTTTCATTGGAATAGATCAGGAAGCATATGATGTTTTTGTCCCATTACTGGGCTGTTAACTTTGATCACATGGTTAAGATTGTGTGTGTCAGGTTTGCCCTGTAAGGTTCCATTTTTCCCTTTCCAGTTAATCTATTTATAGGGAGGTACCTTTAGACTATGTACATATTTCTGTTACTGTAAAACTTTTCCCACTAGTTTGGTGTCCATCAGTTATTATGATGGTTGCCAAATGGTGATTTCTAATGCCATCACTTCTTCTACAGTTATTAGTTACTACTTGACTTTCTGTGGACTTTCCCTTCTCCTCCGTTTATGTATATCATTATGGATTCATAGATTCTTGTTTATTTATTGGGTTACAATCTATTACTATAAGTATTTTGATCGTCAAATTGTCCCCAGTTTGGCCCGGGAGAGCCCCTTTCAGCTGACTCCTGAGTCCTGTTGTCACGTCGCTGTTTGAGCACTTCCTTACTTTCTGGCATAAGATGTTTCAGGTTCATTTTGTACTTGAGCTACCCCAGCCCTCAAGTCAGCCCTTTCTCCAAGGATGATAATTTATGTTTTAAGTAGAAGAAGGAATCTTGTATCTTATGCTGACTTTCCTCAGTAATATTGACAGATGAAATTTAGAAGTTCTGTTAAAAATGTTACTAATACTTTAAGATTAATTCATTTTCTCATTCGCTAAGTTTCCTGTCTGTGCTTGGGGCTAGATGCTTCCAATATAAATGAAGTTTAACTCCAGGTCACATTTCAAAAACAATGTCAAAATAATTGTTACAGACAATTAAATGCTATAGATGTTCAGAGATGGGTTAGAGACCTGGGAATTGAAGAGAAATTTGAGAAAAGAGTAGACTTTGAATATATGGAAAGGAGCAAAGGGGACATTCAATTCAGGGGTAGAGCAAGAGCAAAGCTGTGGCACTAGGAATAGGCATGCTTATTAAGGAGTTTTGAGTGGCCTGACTAGTAGATGGAAATAATGTTGGTAATTAGTGGCTAGGTGGGGTCCAGTTTATTGGGAGCCTGGATTCCAGGCTGACTCATTTAGAATTTATCCTACAGGCAAGGAAGAGTCCTTAAGTTTGGGGCTAAGTAGTCATAAGGATTATGTTTTAGAAAGTTTATTCTGATGCTATGTTGCAGAATAGACTGGAAAACAGAAGACAAGTTAGGAAACTATTAAAATAATTGAGTCTAAGGCAGTAGAAATACAAATCGAAAAGAATTTGGAAAGTGCTTTGGAAGGAAGAAATGATTTTAGTGTTTTGAATCAGGATAGCTGGGAGAATGGGGGACTGAAAGAAGTAGGAAACTGATGATTTTAATAAGGGAAAGAAAACAGAAATAAGTTACAAAGAGAAACTCAAAGAAAAACAGATTTGGTGATACTGAAATTTTTATTTTAACTTTCTTTTCTGTAGTGGTTGATTAAAAGCCATAGAATTACTCCATAACTTTTTAAACAAAACAATATAGTTAAAAAGTAATGACATGGGGCAATATAATATCATAATTATTAGACACAGTAATGCTTGCTGAATTTCATAACACTTGTTAGAAATAGATATTCAATAATAGCTTTAATTTTCATAGTTGTAGATTTATAGTGAAACACGAAGTTGTTTTGGTTTGATATGCTCTAGTATATTCAACCACATTACCAGTCTCAAATCATGTCTCTGAACTGAGATCCAGATTCCTGATTGATGTGAAATGTATGGCTCTTGTTGGCGTTTGGGTGTGAGAAATTCGTTTGCAAGTACATATAGCATTTGATTCTTTTTGTGTTATTAAAATGCACATTCTCATCTGTCTGTTTAAAAAATATACCATTTTTAACTTCAACTTTGTGTAAAGAAGAAGTCATCAGAAACTAAGAGCTTACAAGATCTTAACATCACTACATATTGTGACCAAGACATGCTTTGCCATATGTTGGGAGATAATTGTAGAAAGTACCTAGATCCAAACTTCCACAAGAAGTGAGAATGAATGTTCTTGAATAGATATTTTGACATTTCATTAATTTTACAATTAAACATATTTCAGTCTTCACCAGACCATCATTCTTCTTCATAGATACTGCAAGAAAAATGACACAGGTTTATCTCTCTAGCTGCTATCTCTTCGGGCTTTCTGAATTGGCTTGAATCCTGGAGGTTAGATCTAAAAACTAAACCTCCTTCAGTCCATAGGATTCCAAGCAGGGTTGTTCATTTGTTTGTTAATAGGTTAATATATAGGCTTCCTAATTAAAATTGGTTGAAAGAAATTTTACATGAAGTGATGTATTAACTTTACATTAAGTGATGTATAATGTGTTGGGATAGTGCTGGGTGACTGTCATAATTTCTGCTGCTACAGTTTATAAAAAGGAAAATAAAGTCAGTTCTTTATGTTGGGAAAGAAGATTTCATGTTATCTGTATTTGCAGGCTTTCTGGCTCATATGCTGGAGGAATCCTTGCTGCGGGGGTGTTTTCATTTTCTCGTCTAACATGGCAGTGGTCCATTGCAGCAGAGGTTTTTAGTTTAAACAATCTGTTTGTGGGGCTGCTTATGGCTCTTACTGTACATTTTGAGGAGGCAGCAACTGCAAAAGAAAGATCAAAGGTAACCTATTTTGATCAAAGTGAAGTCACTTTTTGTTGTAATTTTTAGACGGATGCTGTATTTCTTTTTAACTTTGGTTTAGATACTGTTTATCTATTCTGATTACTGTCAAGGTAATCTAGGCATGTTGAGAGAGAAGATATTTTCAGTTCTTTTACTGTGAACCATGAGAGCCTTTATAAAACATGGGAATTTTTTTTCTCTAAGAGTTCAAAAGTTTTTTGGAGAATGAGAGGATTCTGAAGTCCCTTTTGAGTCCTATGGGAAAGATAGGCTTGTTAGTTAATTCCTCCATCATTTGTGTGTGTGTGTGTGTGTGATCATAAGATGCCAAGCTCTAGATTGGCCATCTTAAATTATATTCCATTATGGTACATTGACTTACTCCTTAATTGCAAAAAGATCAAATTTGTACTTTTTTTAACTAACAGGAGAGTATCAAACATAAAAATGACATAGTTCAGAAGAGATTACAATGAATTCGAGGGCAAACTATCATCAAAATCATCTGAAATGTGAAGGAACCCTGTCTTCCAAGAGCTTACAGTCTACACGTTGGAAAGGGCCAGATCATCCTAGTATAGGCGGCCTTGTGTTGTTAAAGAGTATAGAAACAAAAGAACATCATGGTTTATCTGTAGTGTCCATAAACAGATCTGTGATGCTAGTAGAGTTTATTTTTTGTCTAAAATTAAATTTTTTCTGATTATGAAAATATCACATGTTCAAAAGAGCAAAAACACCACCCATGGATAACCAGGCTTCTAAATAAAGTGTTATATTTCATTTATTTAATTTAATAGGAGAAAAAGTAAAATAGAAAGAATTGCTGAACTTCAGTTATAGACTTTGAGTAGGAATTACATGATATCTTATTTCTATTAGGACTTATCTAGTCATCATACAGGACTTGCAAAAACTTAGTTTGAAAACAGTCATTTAAGGTCAAACTGCAGCGATTTGATGAGAATGAAAAATATTAAAAAATAATGGTGTTAAATATTAGTGACTGTTAGAGCATGACTGCTTGCATCTGAGAGGTTAATTTTAACCTGATAATGGTACAAATGCTTGGTTTTAATATAAAGAATAGCTTTTTACTATTGTGCTTACTTAGAGCTTTTGGTGAATTTTTAACTTGGATTTTTTTCTTTTATTTATTTTCAGATAGCTAAAATTGGTGCTTTCTGCTGTGGCCTTAGCTTATGTAATCAGCACACAATAGTACTCTATGTTTTGTGCATTATACCATGGATTCTCTTTCGACTTTTAAAAGAGAAGGTAGGTTTTTGTGTTTTGTAAAAGAGAAAATTCATAATATTTTATTTAAGCCCAATATAACATTTATGGCATCAGAAAACATGGGACTTTTAATTTTTTTTTAGTTTTATATAAAGCATAAATAACCTTAGGCCCTAACATTGACTGAAAAAATAGGATTTACAAAAATTATGCAGTATTGATTGCAGTGGCATCTGGCCTGTTTCATAATTTTCTTACCGATTTTGAACAGCACCTTGATGAAAATAGGCTAAAGGGACTTAAAACAACAATAGAAAATTTCCTTAATTTTATTCTGCATTCTAAGACAAAGGATAGTGTATTAATAGTAGTTCATTCATTTATCCAACGGTTTATTGAGTGCCTGCTCTGTGCCAGCTGCTGCCTGGGTGCTGGAGATGCAGCTCTCAACACAACAGGCACCATCGTGCCGTTGTGAAATAAACAATAAAATCTCTGGTAAATAACAGTCCTGTTTTCTCAGAACAGATTTTCTTAGAATTAAAAATGATTTAATTTAGTTTCTTCTTTCTCTGAAAGAGAAAATGATTATTAATTTAGATGGCAGTATAGAGCAATATAGGTAAATTATTTTGTTAGGCAGTGGACTTGTCAGAAAGGAGAAGGCAGGACGCTGAGTTAGACACAAGTTCTTGAAAGAGAGAAGCTCTATTCTGTCAGTCTTCCTCCCAGAGGTTAACACAGTCCATATCCAAAGCCAGTACTGGAGTCATTTTATTTACTTACTTGATTGTTTGTTTGTTAATTACACTTCAGCCACATTTGTTTATCATTTCATTATTTGTGACTTATACGCAGCTATAATCAGAATTATATTAGGAAAAACACATATAATAAAATTATTATATGGAAATAGGGAAATAATTATACCAAAGCTTTAGATAATTGTATTTAGTGTACTTGAATACGTTTTCTTTCTTAGCTTCTTGGCAACAAAGCAAAAAGGGTGGAGGTTATAAAATTCTGTTTATGTGATAAAAAAATAAATGAAAAGGAAACATAACAATTGACAGGAAAGATCACCTTGTTCTTGGAACTAAATTCTGTTAAGTCAATCATATAAGACCTTATGGAAGGGATGTTAAACAGCATAACAGGCAGTGTCTTTAATAGTGGTTTTATAGAATATAAAGAAAATTCTTTATATGTTTTTTTATTATATAAGCCCTTGATTAAAAAAAATGGAGATATAACACATAAAGGTATAACTCAGTAAAGACTTTTCTATGGACTACAAACCTGAGGATGCCCAAATATTTCTCCTCTGAACTGATGGATGCACAGATGGGGATGCATTGATACCCTGATATCAGTCATCTTAGCCAGGCTTCTTTTTTTTTATCTAGTCTTCACTTCGCTCTCTTTTTTTTTTTCCAGCTTTATTGAGATATAATTGACATATAACATTGTGTGAGTTTAAAGTGTAAAATGTGATGATTAATATATGTATGTGTTGCAAAATGATTACCACAATAAAGGTAGTCAACACCTCCATCACCTCACATAGTTACGATTTTGTGTGTGTGGGTTGAGAACTTTTAAGATCTACTCTCTTAGCATCTTTCAAATGTACAATATAGTACAGTCATGCATTGCTCACCTAGGGGGACTATGTTCTGAGAAATGTGTCCTTAGGTGATTTCATCGTGCAAACATCATAGAGTGTACTCACACAAACCTAGATGGTATAACCTACTATATACACCTAGGCTATATGGTACTAATCTTATGGGACCACTATTGTATATGTGGTCCATCGTTGACCAAAATGTCATTTTGCAGTGCATGACTATATTGTTAACTATAGTTACCATTCTGTACATTACATCCCCAGAACTTATCTTATAACTGGATGTTTGTACCCTTCGACCACCTTCACTAATTTCTCTCACCCCTCCACCCCCACCTCTGGCAACCACCAATCTACTCTGTTTCTATGAATTCAGTTTTTTAGATTCTACATGTAAGTGAGATCATACAGTATTTGTCTTTCTCTGTCTGACTTATTTCATTAGCATAATGCTCTCAAGGTCCACCTATGTTGTCATAAATGGTAGGATTTCCTTCTCTTTATGGCTGAATAATATTCCATTCCACACCACATTTTCTGTATCTATTCATACGTTGATGGACACTTAGGTCGTTTCCATGTCTTGGCTGTTATTAAAAATGCTGCAGTGAACATGGGTGTATAGCTGTTTTTCAAGATAGTGATTTCATTTCCTTTGGATATACGCAGAAGTGGAATTGCTGGATCATATGGTAGTTACGTTTTTAATTTTTTGAGGACCTTCTGTACTGTTTTCCACAGTGACTGCACCAGTTTACGTTCCCACTAACAGTGCGCAAGGGTTTCCTTTTCTCCACGTCTTCGCCAACACTCATTATCTCTTGTCTTTTTGATAACAGCCATTCTAGCAGGTGTGAGGTTATTCTCCTTGTGGTTTTGATTTGCATTTCCCTGGTGATTAGTGATGTTGAACACCTTTTCATATATATCTGTTGGTCATTTGAATATCTTTTTTGGAAAAATGTCTATTCAGGTCCCTTGCACATTTTTTAGTCAGATTAATTGGTTTTTTGCTATTGAATTATGAGTTCCTTATATATTTTGGATATTAACCCCTTATCAGGTATGTGGTTTGCAAATATTTTCTCCTTCTATAGGTTGCCTTTTTGTTTTGTTGATTATTTCTTTTTCTGTGCGCAAGCTTTTTAGTTTGATGTAGTCCCACTTGTTTATTTTTGCTTTTATAGCTTGTGCTTTTGCTGTCATATCCAAGAAATCATGTCATGACAAAGTCAAGGAGCTTTTTTTCTGCGTTTTCTTCTAGAATTTTTATGGTTTCAGATCTTACATTTAAGTCTTTAATCCATTTTGAGTTAATTTTGGTGTACGGTGTAAGATAGGAGTCCGGTTTCATTCTTTTGCATGTGAATATCCAGTTTTCCTGGCACTATTTATTGAAAAGATTATCCTTTCCCCATTGAGTATTCTTGATTCCCTTGTCAATTATTAGTTAGTTATATATGCATGAGTTTATTTCTGGGCTCTCAATTCCATTGGTCTATGTGTCTGTTTTTATGCCAGTACCATACTGTTTTGATTACTATATAGCTTTGTAATATAGTCTGAAATCAGGAAGTGTGATGCCTCCAGCTTTGTTTTTCTTTCTCAGGATTGCTTTGGTTATTCGAGGTCTTTTGTGGTTCCATAAAAATTTTAGAATTTTTTTTTCTATTTCTGTAAAAAATGCCATTGGATTCTTGATAGGATTGCATTGAATCTATAGATAGCTTTGGGTAGTATAGACATTTTAACAATATTAATTTTTCCAATACCTGAAAACAGGATATCTTTCCATTTATTTGTGTCGTCTTCACTTTCTTTCATCAATGTTTTATAGTTTTCAGTGTTCAAATCTTTCACCTCCTTAGTTAAATTTCTTTCTAAGTGTGTTATTATTTTTGATGCTATTGTAAATGGGATTGCTTAGTGTTTTTAGGTAGTTTGTTGTTAGTGTGTAGAAATGCAACTAATTTTTGTGCATTGATATTTTATCCTGCAACTTTACTGAGTTTGTTTATTAGTTCTAACAGTTTTTTGGTGGAGTCTTTAGGATTTTCTATATATAAGATCATATGATCTGCAAACAGAGACAATTTTACTTCTTCCTTTCTGATTTTGATCCCTTTTATTTCTTTTTCTTGCCTAATTGCTCTGGCTAGGACTAGATGCATTTCTCAGAACGTATCTCTGTCATTAAGTGATGCATGACTGTATATACATACATGTATTTATGTATATATGTGTTTGTATATATATATGTGTGTGTATATGTGTGTGTATATTTATGCTGATCCTACCCTAAAATAATTCTGATTTAATTGATCTGGGGTGAGGTCCCGACATTGATATTTTTAAAAAGCTCCCCAGGTGATTCTAATATATGTGCACCTAGGACTCAGAACCCCTCTCCTGGACTCTCTGAAATAGCTCTCATGTTATTGTCTCCCTATTTATTTCCCACACACAAGGAAAATTCTGCAGCAACTGCATCTTGCCATTCTCAATTGAACTTTATAATATGTAGAAACTGCCCAAAATATAAACACTTACTTTCTTTAAAACTACTTGTAAGAAGAGCAAAGGCATATTGTTCGATTAGTTATGTCTTACACTCTTTTCATGCTATCATTTTTTATGCATCTTCTTACCACTGTAGAAATATCAAATAAAATCAGTATTTGAATAAAAACACTCCGTTTTCAATTAAGAATATTTATTTGAAAATGCTAATATAAGTCAACTGCTTTTTCTACTTCTGGCGAATGTGAACCTTGGTTCTTATATTCAGTCACATATGAATTTTCCTTTTTTGTAAAGGAAAAATTGGCAATTTCCAATTTTGATATTCGTAAGAGAGCCCCTTTCCCAATTGCTAAAGCAACCAACATTTGATCTTTCTAGTATACCAGAATTCTTTTGGACTTACTCTTTATAAGACTTTGTCAATATTGTTCTTTGTTTTAGAAATGTGCAGATGAGAAATATATTCTCATGTGAGGCAACATTGTAACACAGAACATCACATTTCCTTCCGTCCTATATGTAAATTGAGAAAAAAAAGCATTCAGATGAGCTGGGAGGTTATTTAAAAGCTAGCTTCATTTGTGCCAAGTATTTCCATGAAATTTCCAAAACCCTTGTAGAAAGAATCATATTGTCAATGTATAATCACATTAGAGTATTTAGTTGAAGTCTACTCCTGATGTGAGTGATAAGTGAATTGGTGTTAGAACAATATTTGGGACATATTCAAAATCAGCCAAACAACTTAATCACTCAGCTGTGGTTTATCTCAGCTGTGCAATGCTACATGTCATAACATGATTTTAAATGTAAAAGATGCAATAAATATGATACTCATGAGTCTTTGTTAATATTATTTGCTTCACTTATATTTCACCTGCCATGCAGAGAAGTTCAGACTGACGCAATTTTCTGGTAATCCACAGTAATCAGAAGGTTTAACATAGTATTCTATAGTGACTTACTATAAATTGAGAGATCAGGTCTGAGTAAACATATTTGATGTTTTCCTTGATGTGTTCTTGAAGGTCCAGGATGAATCACTAAAGCAAACATGGTTATAACACAATGTGCTCTCATGCAGGAACTCTCCCTGGGCTCTTTGTTGAAGTTGAGTCTGTGCTTCTCTGCTGGTTTGCTACCCTACCTCTACCTTCCCATCTCATCCTACCTCAGTCAAGCCCGTTGGACCTGGGGAGACCAGACAACGTTGCTCGGATTTTTGACACATTTTCTCAGGGAGGAATATGGAACATTCAGTCTGGTAAATTTGTATTTAATTCCCTTTTAAGGGATAAGTGGCAAAACTTCAGTGTTCTGGCTGGAGCTTGATTGAAAAAAAGACAATCAATGTTTATCAATGACAGTACATAGAATTTTCATTTCAGTTATTTATGTAACAAACTTGCCCCTTGGAATGTGGCCTTTCCATACATAAGAAAGAAATTAGAATCACTTAACCTGACATCATACTGTTGTATATCCTGAATATACTTTTCAGGATAACAAGCATTAAAGACTCTGCTGCCAACAGTTGAAGCATTTCAGTCTTCTTAGTGTTGGGTGTCACTTCAGGCTCTTGGTCTATGATTAAAAATATTTGGAAAAGATTAAAGGACAAAAACTCAGAATTTTTAATTTACCTTGACCAAAACACTTTCTTTTTACATATTTGATGAATAGTGTTCATGTCGTATTTAGTGTAATACCTGTGTGTAAATGCTTTATAAAATATCATTTTACCGAATGTGTGAAATTTAGCGTGTTCTAAGAAGTTCAAAAGGCCTTGCTTTCCCGGGCCGGCCCCGTGGCTTAGCGGTTAAGTGCGTGCGCTCCACTGCTGGCGGCCCGGGTTCGGATCCCGGGCGCACACTGACGCACCGCTTCCCCGGCCATGCTGAGGCCGCGTCCCACATACAGCAACTAGAAGGCTGTGCAACTATGACATACAACTATCTACTGGGGCTTGGGGGGGGGGGGGGGGGGAGGCCTTGCTTTCCTTAATACATAAATTAGGGGAAAACACCAAATGTGGTTATGGTAAAGGTTATCTGGAAAATGAAAGGATAAATGGATGGTTTTTTATTTTAATATACACAGTTATTTTTCTTTCGTAGTTTGTACTTTTTGTGTCCTACCTGAGAAAGCACATCTCAGTAGAGTACATATTATGTGACACTATTTATACAAAATTCTAAACCATGCAAAAACTAAGCAACCTGTTGCTCAAGGATACATACGGAAGTAGTAAAACTATACATTTTTGGAAAGTAGAGGAATAACACAAAATTCAAGGTAACAGTTACCATGGGGGGATGAGAAAGGCGAGGCCTGTGAGGGCTTTGTGAAGTACCTATGGTATTCACGCGGTTCTCTTTCTTAAATGGATGGTGGGGTCTATAGATTGTTTAAAACTCTTTATCCTTTAAATATACATTATATATGTTGTTTCTATTTAGGAGATATTTCATAATAAAATAGGTTAATGAAAGGATAATTATTAATTATTTTTTGGCTTAGAGAGTTTGATAATTTAAATTTGTACTGTGGTTTACTTATATTGATTATTCCATTAAAATATTGCTTGAGGGCCATTCCAGAATTGAAATTTGTATAATTCACACATAACTGTGAAATTATAGACTAACAGGTGATAATGAGCTCTAATCAAGGTGCCCAAAAAGAGCTTAAGGAAACTCTCTAACAAAAGTGTAAAGTCTGTTAATTCATTAATATATTAATCATTCCTGCTGAAATAGTTTAACTGATTTTTAGCCAATTATTATCTCTGAAATTCTTCCTAAGGGATGTCCATGTTTACTTTTCAGTGACTTCTCTTTAAAAATTTCATAAGGCTCTGAAGTAAAGACCCTGAATGAAGAGAGGTGTTGCATTGTATATATAAAACATGTATTTTTTAAATCAAGATAGTTAAAATACAATAGCCTAGCAAAGCTTCAGTTTCATGCTTGTGCAAATAAACTTTTCTCTTTTATGTTTAGGCCAAATCTGAAATAGGATCCAGTATGTCTCAAATATTGCTGTGAGTATGAAATATTTGAAACTTTTTTTAGATGAATTCTCTATTAGTTCCTTTAAATGATTTTTGGGAGTTCTGAGCTTATCTCTTTGTGAAGCAGTATGTCCTGTCTGAGAAGTGGTTTTCACCTGTACAGTTGTTTGTGTATACTGTCAAATATTGTAGTATTTCCTTCAGTAAGATAAAGCTTAAAGTGAGCAATAAATACAACAGTGAGTGAGAATATCAGGATCCTGTAAAGAACACATAAAACTAAAATGTTTCAACTTTCAGTTGGATACAAATTACTCAATGTAGTGTTGCTTTATAAATTTATTCTTTGTTCTGGTTTTATATATCTTCTTTCTTTCGGAGACATTTTGTAACACTATATTTAGCAATTTGAATCATTATTTTCTTGTTATTTTGGATTGAGCTATGCTTTTTTAATTCTTCAGAATTTAATTTATTTAACATCTCTTAAGATTTTTCCTGTATTTTTGACTTACATATTTTTAACACCCAGCCTTATTAGAGCCAGCTTAAGCAAATACATTTCATTTATATTATCGACCAGCATTCTTTGAAAATGGGTTAGTATTTGCTTTAAAACCTACACAGATTAAGACAACTTAAAAAATATCCACACCAATCCAGTAATATTTTTATAATATTTTCAATATAAAATTAGTGAAGAATTGTTTTCTATAACTCTAAAGTGATCTCCTAACTAATTATTAATTTGGGATTTTCAGGACTTTCCAAAAGCATTTTAAAAATATGGTGAGAATATTTCAACTCTACATGTGAGGTAGTTCACGGGTTCTCACAATTTCTGTCTTATTTACTTGCTTGCTTCCTTCCATCCTTCCTTCTTTTCTTTTTAAATGACCTACTTCCCGACTCCAAAAAATTGATACATAATCATTATAGAAAGTTTAGAAAATACAAGTAAACAAAAATGAGAAAATTAAAATTGCTATAATTCTGACATGCAGAGATAACCACTATTATTAATCCATTAACATTTTTGTCTATATCCTTCCAATATTTTTTATATTTTTGTTTGTTTTTAAAAATGGGATAACAAAATACATAGTTTTATTAGCCTGCTGCTTTTCATTTTATACTATATCTTGAAAATATTTTCCTGCCACCAATTATTCTTATTTTGATGGTTCTCACAATTGAGTTTAAATATTTCTTTTTATATCTGACTGAGACTTTTGTGGGTCCTTTTTCTTTTTCGTTGGGAAGAAGGTAGCAAGAAGCTCAGTTTCCCTGTTAAAGGTAAGGACAGCTTTACCAACATCTCTGATCTTTTACTTAATTCTGCTCTGCTCCATGCTGAAAGACTCACTACCTGATCTTTTCTACCTACCTTCTGGAATTATCACACTCAGGATTACTGGTATATTTTGCCTTAACAAATCCCACATGAATTCCAAAGAACTCTCAAGAGTATAGACCATACATCTAACTTTTAGTAGTTGCACATGAAAGTCATCTATTGGGGAACTTAAAGGCCTCCTTTACATTGAAATAATAGCAGTTATGTTTTATACCCAGGAAAAAAGACGACAAAAGTGATGACCACTCACACCCACACTCTTTGTTCAAATCAAATCCTAGTATAGAGTGGAGGCATAATCCTAGCACCCTCTGATTGAGTGAGAGAATTCCTAGTCTTTAGTTGTTTCAGGTGGACAGGAGTGTTGAGAAAGGCAACTCATAATTAACTTACTAGAAAATCCTTCAAAATGATGGAACTTAATCATCTACCCTTTTCGTCAAGCAAATTAAATTCTTCCCCCATGCATATCTCTACATTGCAACCCTGTAAAAGAAAATTATTGAATCTAACCCTAGGCAGCGACCATGTTTTAGAGCTTACATTTAAGCAACAGATTTCCCAGAATTAATTTTGAGACTGACTTCATTCCTTTTGAAGACTGGTTTAAAGTGGGCCTCATGCTGGGATCAGTTTTTCAAGTGTGTTGGAAAAGGAGTAAGGATATCTTCTCGTAGTAGATGAGTCTCCATTAGTGAAATACACATTGTGTAGTTTCCATAATTTTATGGCATCACATTTTCTCCAATAAAATAGCCAGTAGGGAGAAGAAAGTTCTTCAAGGTGGTGTATAGAGTCATTTCTTTTTTAAAAATTGGAGACTGCTAGAGCTATTTCAGAACTCAGACAACACCTGGAAAATACTTCTTTGTTAGTGGAAGAATTTAGTTTAATTGTAGGAGAAAAAACACATTTCTTGGAGATTGCTTAAACATTTTTTGAGAGAAATAATATATAAAAAAAGGAAGAAGATAACCCAGAAAAGAATGGTTAGAGGTCACTTCTTTTGTCCTTTTTATTCTTCATGATTGGATCTCCAGAAAATTACTTGAATTAATTGTTTTCAATTTTAATTCAATTAATTCTAAATCACTGGGGACCATGTCTACACTGCTGATAGAAGAAAGTCCAAAAACTCTTGTCAGATGACTGCTTATGAAACCAGTCAAGGATACAAATTGGTTTACAATATCAATATAATATACCAAGATCACAAATAGAGAAAAATTATTTGTTCTGATCCTATTCCAAATTATATAAGTTGGTAACCAATTGTTACAATTGAAAACATCTTAGAACTGTTTAACTCTTTCTTGTAGTACTTTTTCTCCCAAATTTAAAAGAAAACAAAATAATTTTAAAATCTGACTCCAGCCCTTAAAACTATTCAGTTCCTAATCAGATGTATTCTACAAAGAATGTTTTATTTGGAATTAACCAAATTTGTTTTCTGCCAACAATAAGTTAGGTTGTCTTTTACAGTGCTCAAATAACAAATATGAAGACCCAACTCTCATTCAACATTCAAGCCCTCGCAGTTTGGGCAAATATATGTTTAGCAAGAAAGTGAGTAATATAATTCCTTTTTTTATTATTTTTCCCATGTTCATTAGTTCAATTAATATGTTCAATATGTTATTGTAGAACATTGCCGGTATTATATTATATTCCAAATAAATGACTCTAACCACTTCTATTAAAGCAAATATGTATTGCTTTCTTGCTAGTTTTTTGTTATAAATTAATAATTTTGAAAGATTGAGCAGTATATTAAAATCTAACTAAGAAAATCATTTGATGTCTTAAGCTTCTGATTTAATCCCTTACTCTTGCCCATAGCCAATTATTGTTGCATCGCAAAAGAATCAAACAAGTATTTGAATTCCTCTGAAGATAAAATTAGCCTCCGATGATAAAAGAAAACCTAAAAAATATAGCACTATTAACTTCCATTAATTTTTTGTTCATTTACTTTCTAATCTCTTGAGTGTATTTTTACATAAATGTATATATATGTATATACATTTATAGTTTTATTTCCTTAACACTTAACATTATGTTGTGAACGTTTTCCCATACCATAAAAATACTTAAAATCATTTAAATGTCTATATAATAGTCCATCCTATGACCTAGGAGAATTAATTTAAATGTTCTGTTATTTGAGGATCTTTAGATTGCTTCCACTTCTTCCACTATTATAAGTAATACCAAAGCATTTTTATGCATTAATGTTTGTCCACATTTCTGGTTATTGCTTAAAGATTTATGCCCTTGTGTCAAATTAGTGGGTCAATAAGTATGAATATTTTTAAGGCTCTTGATATATATTATCAAATTAACTTTTCTTGAAGATTGTACTAACAGTCATTCTCAGACTGCTGCATTCTCACCAACATTGAGATTTGTCATTTTAAAATCTTTATTATTTTGATGCATGAAATTCTTTTGTTTTGCGTATATTTAATTACCTGTTAAATTAACAAGATTAATAATTTGTATTTCTTTGATGAATTTTAACTTTATATCTTTAGCTCTGTGAAGTTAAGTTGTCTACAATGTAGTACAGTGTGTAGTTTATTACTGTGTTTTGGTTATCTGTTCCAACTCAGATTTTTAAAACTGAGACCTTTCTTTGTTCCTACTTAAAAATGGAAAATTTTATGATCCAAATATTTTTTCCTATAGTTTAAAACTATGTAACATTATTATTGATATTCATGCACAGAAATAATTTTGGACATATTTTAATTTTTTTTATAGGGACAAACAGAATCCATCCTTAGTATGGCTTTTTACTGCAATGTTCTGCATTTATTCATTGTTCTTTGCTTGGAGGGCAAATTTAGATATTTCAAAACCACTTTTCTTGGGTGTGGTAAGTTACTTAGATATATCCTTTGACCAGAAATTTGATGAAGAATGTATAAATTTGTCTTTCATGAATCTTATAGAAGAGCAAATTTTCTCAGAAATAGTTAAAATTATATATACATGATAATGAATCAAAAGTTAAATTATTGAACTAGTAAGGCTAAGGTCTCTTTTTAGAAAAAAATTGCAGTGTTTAGTTAACTCAATAGTCAGAAAAATAAATGCCAGGTAGATTTAAGGTAGTCATTTTGTGTGTGCTTGTAGATATAGGTACTACTGTATTTCTCTTGGAACTTTTTTTAATGGGAACTTATTTCTTACCTCAGCAGTCCCAGTCTGTGCAAAAGAGCGACCACATTTCTGTTTTTCCCTGGCTGCCATCTCTGAGATTAGGATATTTCTTCCCCTTATAATAGAAACTCTATAAATGTAGATAGCTCTTTTTTTAACAGCTGAAACCAACTGTTTTTGTGTGTGTGTGTGTTCAAAAGGCCTATAAATAATACCCTGCTTGATCACCTGAATTCAGAATCAATTGAGAAACGAAATAGACTAACATAACAGGTGGGCGAGTCATCTTTGTTGCTGACAACGCTGAGATTGGACAATGTGGTTTATACCTGTGGGCAAGGGGGCCTCCTCACTTGCATCCCAGAACAGACAGACTTAGACTAGTCACAGGCAGTGCTGAACAGCACGGGCCTCTCCCCACCCACTGGTGGGGGGGGGGAGAGGGAGGGAGAGAGGGAGAGAGAAACAGAGAGAGGAAGACAGAGAGGGCAAGGGGGGGAGGGGGGAGGAGAGAGGGAGAGAGAGGAAAGAGGAGGGCTATCAAGCCCAGTCCCAGCTCCAAACTCCCCAGTCAGATCAGTCCCCACAATCCTACAGGAAGAAATGAGTGAGGGGGTGTTATACTAGTGGAGCTTCTCCATATGGAAGGAAACTTCAGGAGTAAAGCAAAAGCATTGCTCCACCTCCTCCACCTTACATATAGCAGGAGTTCAGGATGAAGTATTGAGAAGAATGTGTGGATCCAAAAAGGGAGATTCACATGTCAAACTGGGAAGGAGGAATGTTTGAAAATTGAAAACTAAAGTGGCATGGAGTTAGAGTGGGAAAGTCAGTTAACAGGACCTGAGTAACAGCAGGCATAAGCAACTAGATGTAGCTAAAGTACATATGCTTTAAAATATGTAAGTACCTGATGGGTTGCATAAATCAGGCAGCTAGACGTATAGTTTGCACGTCTCTTTCACAGGTAGAGCGATTCTGGATGCAGAGCAATGCCGTGGTGGCTGTCCTCGCTGGCGTTGGTTTGGCTGCACTTGTTTCTGAGAGTAACCGAGTGCTGAACACCAATGGGCTTCAGTATCTGGAATGGCTTTCAGCAACTCTCTTTGTAGTTTACCAAATATATTCTAATTTCAGGTAATGCATATTTATTTTCATGAAAAGTAGAGCCAGAGACATTTGAACATTTAGATTCTAGGACTTCATTTCACCTTTAACTTGCACGGTTTTGAAAGTGAGACAGCCTGGGCTGAATGCAGTGGTTCTTAAACTTTTGAACCAGAATCTCAGCATGAGTGATGTGTAGTTTCAGGGCATCGCAAACAAGGGTTCACGTGTTGCATGTAAACTATCTGTGTATTTTCCTCTAAGGAACCCTTAGAGATACTATGTAGGATCTGGAGTATATGTAAAATTCCATGATCTAAAATACCTCTTAGATCAAGAGTAAAGACATGTGAGCCTTTTTGTATGCCCTAAAATAATTCACTTTATGCTTCAAAGATTTTATCTTTTGAGTAATACCTGGCCCTTATCTAGTTCTCTCTGTGGTAATGAATATTAATTATTTTGAAATAAAGTTCTAAAAGTCTCTTAACCCTTATGCATTATTAGTATTATATGTGTTTTTCAAAATCTTTTGAATAGCCATTCTAATGAAAAGCTCAGTCTAACATAAAAGATGTCCAAGTTTTAGATGATAGTTCATTTATTTCCAGCAGCATTGAGTAAACATTACAGAAGTGGAAAAGTCCATTGGAGATTTGATTGATACTTTAAAAGGTTAAATTTCCCCTATCAACTTAACTTTAAAAACCAATGTTCTTTATGAAATGAGGGTAGAGCCAGTGTTAGGAAGGCTGCATCACCAGGAGGCCATGTGGAAAAGGGATGCACGTCCCAGACACAACTAACTCCATAGCTAGCTCAAGAAGAGTTTGCAAAGCCCACAGTGTGTTTCCCAACCTTTTTTTATCCAGTCTTCTTCTGGCTTGGGTCTTTAGGGCAATCCACGTTCCACACGAGGGATGATTGCACAGGATGAGTGGTTTTCTTTTGTTTTGATTCTTTTATTTGCCCCATGGGAATGGAATAGATAGCAACTTTGCTGGGTGGCAAAATGTGAAGGCCTCACCCCACAAAGTAGGGAATCATAGTAGGAAACAGTTGCATCAGTTATAAGGCAAGGATAATATTTTGTTCCTAGTAGTGTTTATTTGCTTTGTGATACTAACCCAGGGATTCAACTTTAGGCTGTGTTTCTCAGCACCACTGAATGTAGCAGACCTGATAATATAACGGGAAGGACATTGCTTGTTCCGTTTTTGATACTTCCACTCGCTTGCAGTCTTTTTTTTTTTTCATGGGAAGCTCTCAGAATTCATGCCAGTTTTTCTTTGAAGTTAGAAAGTGCACTTCATCATTGAAAAGAGTCATACTGCTGTTGTTGGAAATGGCAAATAATGCCTGTAGAGAAGTAAACAACTCAACCAGCTAATCCTTTCCTTCCTTCTCGTTGGTCTCATTCCCTAGTGATTTCTCAGTCTAGAAGAGAGAGAGGAACACAGAGAGCCTATGGTTCAGGGAAGTGGTGGAAAGGATCAACCTTGCAGGCAAGAGTCAGACAAATGTCATACAAATTTATGCCAGAAATCAGCAGATTTCCTTTGGCATTTCCAAAAGTTCCTTTGGACTAAATGAAATTACCTTAAATTCCAAGTAGAATCAGAAAGCTTACTTCTTTTCAGTGAAATTGGATATGCTTTTAGGAAAAAAAAGACTTATTCTTGAGCACTAACTGATTCTTTTTTAATGGGTATGATTATAAATTCCAGAAGTTAAGCAGTACACTGATTTTTTTCAATTGCACAATTAATTCCTTCTTCTTTTTTTCCAGATGATAGTGTTCTCTTTTCAAATATAAGCAACTTCTTAGAAGATATAAATTAGAATACTTCAAAACACTAAATGTAGATTGCATGATGGGAAAGGAATGGGGTGGAAAATAAGCCCAGTCTTAGTAAAACTGAAGCAATGTGTTGCTCTTTTAATGGTTTCTTTGATCCTTTTATGTAGCATTTGTGACCAAAGCAACAACTACGTGATCGATAAATTTGCGAAGAACCTTCTAGCCTCTATGCCTCATGATGCAATTATCTTACTCAGAGGAGATTTGCCAGGAAATGCTCTCCGTTACATGCATTATTGTGAGGGACTGAGGCCAGATATTTCCTTAGTGGATCAGGAAGTAAGTATATGAAAAATATACTTAGAATATAGTAATTGTAATCATTTTAAAACATATTTTTTTTTTAAAAAAACTATTTTTTAAACAGTGGATGGGAACAGTTTTCATAATCACTGTTAAGTAGAATATATATCACATTTTTTGTTTACTTTAACTAATAGTGTAAGTCATATGAGTTGCTTCTTTCTCACTTAAACTGAATGTTTTAAGAAGCAATGTGTTCTCAGCACTCTTGTTCAACATAGTACTGGAAGTCCTAGCCAGAGCAATTAGGCAAGAAAAAGAAATAAAAGGTGGCCAAATTAGAAAGGAAGAAGTAAAACTGTCACTATTTGCAGATGACATGATTTTATATGTAGAAAACCCTAAATAATCCACCAAAAAACTATGAGAAATAATTAACAAATTCAGTAAAGTGGCAGGGTATAAAATCAACATACAAAAATCAGTTGCATATCTATATGCTATATGCTAACAATAAACTAGCAGAAAGAGAAATCAAGAATACAATCCCATTTGCAATCACAACAAAAAGAATAAAATACCTAGGAATAAATTTAACCAAGGAGGTGAAAGGCCTGTACACTGAAAACTATAAAACATTGTTGAAAGAAATCAAAGAAGACACAAAGAAATGGAAAGATGTTCCATGCTCATGAATTGGAAGAATTAAGATAGTTAAAATGTCCATATTACCTAAAGCAATCTACAAATTCAGTGCAATCCCTATCAGAATCCCCATGACATTTTTCACAGAAATAGAACAAAAAATCTTAAAACTTGTATGGAACAACTAAAGATCCCAAATAGCCAAAGCAATCCTGAGAAAAAGAACAAACCTGGAGGCATCACACTCTCTGATTTCAAAATATACTACAAAGCTATGGTAATCAGAACAGATGTACTGGCAGAAAAACAGACACGCAGATCAATGGAACAGAATTGAAAGCCCAGAAATAAAACCACACATATACGGACAGCTAATTTCCACAAAGGAGCCAAGAACATACAGTGGAGAAAGGAAAGTCTCTTCAATAAATGGTGTTGGGAAAACTGGACAGCCACATGCAAAAGAATGAAAGCAGACCATTATCTCACACCACACACAAAAATTAACTCAAAATGGATTAAAGACTTGAATGTAAGACCTGAAACCATAGAACTCCTAGAAGAAAGCATAGGAAGTATGCTCTTTGACATCCATCTTAGCAGTATCTTTCTGAATATGTCTCCTCAGGCAAGGGAAACAAAAGAAAAAATAAACAAATGGGACTACATCAAACTAAAAATTCCTGCATGACAAAGGAAACCATCAACAAAGTGAAAAGATGACTTACCAATTGGGAGAAGATATATGCAAATCATATATTCGATAAGGGGTTAATATCCAAAATATATAAAGACCTCATATAACTGAACAACAAAAAAATAAACAAACTGATCAAAAAATGGGCAGAGGATGTGAACAGACATTTTTCCAAAGAAGATATACAGATGGCCAACAGGCACATGAAAAGATGCTCAACATCACTAATTATTAGGGAATTGCAAATCAAAACTACAATGAGATATCACCTTACACCTAGAATGTATTATTAAATGTTATAATGTTAGAATGTCTATTATTAAAAAGACAAGAAATAACAAATGTTGGAGAGGTTATGGAGAAAAGGGACCCCTCGTACACTGCTGGTGGGAATGTAAACCGGTGCAGCCACTATGGAAAACAGTATGGAGATTTCCTCAAAGAATTAAAAATAGAACTACCATATGATCCAACTATTCCACTTCTGAGTATTTATCCAAATACACAAAAACACTAATTAGAAAAGGTATGTGCACCACTATGTTCATTGCAGCATTATGCACAATAACCAAGACTTGGAAACAACCTAAGTGCCCATCAACAGATGAATGGAGAAAGAAGATATGGTGTATATATGTACAGTGGAATACTACTCAGCTTTAAAAACAAAAGATGAAATCTTGCCATTTGTGACAACAGGGATGGACCTTGAGGATATTATGCTACGTGAAATAAGTCAGACGGAGAAAGACAATTCCTGTATGACTTCACTCATATGTGGAAGATAAAAACAACAACAACAAACGTATAGATAAAAGAATAGATTGGTGGTTACCAGAGGGGAAGGGGAGGGGGAGGGCAAAAAGGGTAAAAGGGTGCACGTGTACAGTGACGGACGGCAACTAGACTTTTGGTGGTGAACGTGATGTAGTGTATAGAGAAGTCGAAATATAATGATGTACACCTGAAATTTTATATCTTGTTATAAAACAATGTTACCTCAATAAAAAACTGAGTAAAATAAACATTTTTTTAAAAAGAATCAGTGTGTTTTATGTTAGATTCAAATAACATCCTAAGTCTCCAGTTCACATGACAAACTATGCAAATATTGTGTTGTAAATTTATTTTTAAGCCAGCCCTGGTGGTCTAGAGGTTGAGATTTGGCGTTCCCACTGCCATGGCCCAGGTTCGTTTCCTGGTCAGGGAGCCACACCACCCGTCTGTGGGCTGTCCTACTGCGGCCGCTGTGTGCTGCTGTGGTGCTGAGAGCTGTGCCACCAGTGTTTCAAACACCGCAGGGTCCCCACGTGGACAGGTTTCAGCGGAGCTTCCAGACTAGAAGGACTAGCAAGAAGGACCTGGCCCCCACTTCTGAAAAATTTGCCGTGACAACCGTGTGACTAGCAGCGAGCGTTGTCTGATAGAGCGTCAGAAGGTGAGGGGATGGCATGGAAAGACCAGGCGGGGTCCTCTCTGCTGTACACAGGGTCGCTAGGAGTTGGAATCCACTCCACAGCACCAACAAAAGAAATTTATTTTTAAATTGTTCTTTTTTACGTTTGGCCAACTCAGCCATTCAAATTAACGCTGCCCACTGGTCCAGGGATTAAAATAAATTAGGTTGAATATAAAATAAGTCATTCTGCAGGTAAGTAAACATTTCACTCAAAATAGAAATTATTAACCACAATTCTGGTATAGAATTTTTGTGTAAACTTTGTTGATCTTATGACAAAACTATGTTTTGAGAGGACTTGTGAAAATTTTGAGCTCTATTAAAACAAGCTTCTGGAACTGAAGAAATATATTTAAACTATAAGATTTATTATTTAAACCGTAAATACTTAAAAGGGAACAAATCTGTCTCTGGTGTTTTTAGAGCAGTCATCAGGAAAAGAGACATTCTTAATCCTAAAAAAATACTGTGATTAGTTTGAGCAAATTACTAGGCACAATACTTGTTTAATAAATTTTGTTGAATTAATGAATAATTAGAATTTTTTGGAGAAATCTCTATAAACAGATTTGCAAATACAGGGAAATTTGCAAATTACACATATTTTTATAAGCAGTTTGCATTTATATCAAGTATACAGATTGATTAATTTGATCTTCAGTCTAGCTTCTGACAAAAGCTGGATTATTTGTTGATAATATGGTGTTGCAGTGTGATTTGAAATACTATTTGGGGTGGCAGCTACTGTAGTTGAGAAGCATGGATTTCAAAGTTAATTAGACCTAAATTCAAGTCCTCATCCTGTCACTTCCTGGATGTGTGATGCGGGCTAATGATTTTTCCTCTCAGAGCCTCCGTTTCCTTATTTATAAAATGGAAATGATCATCATATAAGTTAGGATGCTTTTGAATGCAAGAAGCAAAATACCTGACTAAGAGCAGCTTAAACTATATCGTTTTTAATTTCACATAACAAGTAGTCTGGAGATGGGAGGTTTTAGGTTTGATAATACAAGCAGTTCAATGATATCAGGGTTCTGGGGCAGCTTTTCTGCAGGTCTCTCGAACTGATTGATGCCCGGTTCCTAACATCCCATCCTAAAACAAAGCAAAGTGCGTCTAGGGCCTGCCCCACCCCTCCCTCTCTATCAGGAGTAACATGTGCCCCAGAAGCCCCTAGCAGACCTCCACTCAGGCTACCACTGACCAGTATGGGGTCATATGGCCACTCCTACTCACTAGCAAAAGGGAATGACTAAACCTGAGCAGATTGCTGCTCTGGGCTACTGATCAAAATCAGGACTTTGTTGGTGAGAAAGAAGAAGGTATTAGCTGTTGAGTGGGCAATCAACAGTATCTGACATAATTATTCTCACATAGTAAGGTTATTATGAGAGTTAAATGAAAAACATTAAGGTCATAGCACACAGTGGGTATTTAATTAATGTTAATATCCCCAAGAGCTGAAACTATTGGGTAGTAAAATCTAATTCAATAAGTATTTTTTGAATATTTACAATGTACACTTAGATTAAAATTAATTTATTTCTAGTTAAATGACTTGTGTAAGGCAAGTAAAACAGAAGCATAATTGCTCAAACGATGATATCCAAACTTTAACAAAGCTTTGAAAGTGTAAATATGAGTCTTTCTTTAAAAAAAAGGAAATCTGTATATGTAAAAGTATAGAATTTAAGTACATATTAAGTACAGAATTAAGAAAATTATGATGTTTTTGATACTAATGATTTATTTTAATCAAAAGAACATGTCAGGATCTGTAATTAATTTGGAGCTACTAATAAATTCAGACAGTTTAGCCAAAAGGGTTTTTAGCTTTGAAGCCTAGATTATCATATGATTGTGCTTCTCAAGGGCAGGGATTATATCTTCCTCATTATAGGTGAGCAATACTTGATTTTGAATGAATTAATGAAAGAATGGAGTAATGACACATCTCTATATTTTGCCTGGGTTGTCTCGTCTGGCCATCAAAGACATTTGCACTTGAGCAAACATAATTTGAGAACTGTTGTGTGCCAGGCGCTGTGCCAGGCACAGGCACACGAAGATGAAGAGATGCAGTCCCCCTCTGGGGCCTGCGGTCTAGTGAGGAGTGGACTAAGGGCTGTGACAGAGGTGCGTGCAAAGTGCTGTAGGGGCATAGCCTGCTGCTGTGGACACTGGAGGGCATCGCAGAGGAAGTGACATTTAAGCTGCTTCTCAAAGTTGAGTACATGTTCTCTCGGTATAAGAATGGGGGAAGGTCTTTCTGGGCAGTCCATCAAATCCGTGGAGGCAAAATGAAACTAGATGCTGATGTTACCAATGACAGTTGTAACTTAAGACATGAAATCCAAGGTTTAAATCAGAAGAGTCGTGAGTGCCACATGCCTCGGTTGTGCTTGTATGTATTTTTCAATTATCTTTATATTTAATGAGTATATCCACACTTTAGATCTTTTTCACTTTACTTGCTAAACTTAATTCTTTTTTAGGAAATATATTAAAAGTATGATATATGTTATTTTTCTGGCAGATGATGACTTATGAGTGGTATTTACCCAAGATGGCAAAGCATTTACCAGGTGTCAACTTTCCTGGGAACCGGTGGAATCCTGTGGAAGGAATACTACCTAGTGGAATGGTCACATTTAATCTTTATCATTTTCTTGAAGTAAATAAACAGTAAGCATTCTTTTCATATAATAGCTTTTCTAAAATCTTAAGCTTTTCTAAAATTGTTTATGTAGCAGCTGTGCTTTATCCAAAAGACCAATTTTCTACACCTATTTCTCTGTCACTGGTGAGATTATCTTTGTAATTAAATTGAATCTCTGTGCATAAATGAGGCCAGGCAGAAATAAATGTTATTGTTCTGGGTAAAGGAAAAAGAAAGACAGATTAGCAAGAATAGCAAATAAGATCTTAGTACAATTCAGAGAAATTGGAGATGTGCCTGCCTACTTGAAATCATTGCAGGTGGATCGCAAGCAATTATAGTTTCCCCCGATCAACACCATGGCCCCCTTTTAAGTGTAAAGCAAATGTTTTCTAGAAATAATCACTATATAAAAATAGCTTAAGGATTTTTTAATAAAGGATAAGGCATTTTTATAAATAAGAAAAACACCTACAGTTATGTTGGCTGAGATAACATATGAGAATTATGAATTCTATACTTGAGAACATAAAATTATTCATAGTTAAGGTTGAGGATAAATAACTCCTTCAGTGGTGTAGTGTTGAACATTTCTCCTGTCTGTGAAATGCTTGGGATTGTCCAGAGTGTGAAGAAGAAAAATTTATTTCATAATTTCTGTTCTCTTCTAAAGGGAACCTCAGAAATTCTTTGTAAATTCCAAAGTTAAATTATCCTTTACTAGGAACATAATAATGAGATACTTTTGGTGTTCAGAGCCTGAAGTTTCCTGAATAGAACATTTAATTGTTCTATTTTGGAATGAAATATAAGAACCATTAACTTCGCCAAATAGACATTTTTTGTGTGTGTGTGAACTTGATGTAATTCAACCTCACAAACATTTATTGAATCTACTATGTTCCACCTTATATTAGGCCTTGGCAATAAAGTGAGACTCAGTTCCAAATTCAAGTAGGCCACAATCTAGTTGTATATATATGTAGAAAGAAATACAACTGGCAATAATACGATAGGATAAGCCCTATACTAGCAAAGCCTTGAGACACAGTAAGTGTTCAATATGTGTTTACTGAATGGATGATTTAACTGACAGTATAAGCCAAGTGTTCTGGGACCATGGATGAAGAAGTGATTAATCCTGCCTGGGGGCATTCATTCAACATTTATTTAAGAAATATTGGGTGTCCAGAATGTCCCAACAACTATACTAGCCACAGAGGCATGGACATGATCCCTGCTGTTACAGTCTTTCAGAGAGGGTTTCAGGTGGTGTCTTAAATATGAAACAGATAAATTACAGTATCATCTGGTAGGCTTGATAATGTTGATATGGACAAAACTTTGGAGACTTAAAATCTAAGTAGGAATTTGCCAAGTGAGTGGGAGAAGGCTGATTCAAGGGAAGTGCATGTGCAAAGTCCTGAAAAGGGCCTGCTGCGCTCTGGGGAAACGAGGCGGCCCAGGATGTTTGGAGCTCAGGGCTGAGAGGGTTAGGTGAGGGGGTGAGTGTGGAGGCCCAGATGGTAGAGGGCTTTTTCCTACAGACGTGGATGAGGCATGTCCTCATGGAAATATTGTATGCTCCTTGTGGGAACTCTAGACAATGTGGACAAACATAAGGAAGATCAGTACCATCTGTCTTTCAAGGACAACCACTATTAACATTTTGGTAAACATTTTGGAATTCCATTCATTTTTAACAGAAATTATTTATTTATCCACACACATACATACTCATATACACATACTGTATTTTACATAGCTGGGATAATATTGAGTTTCCTGTCCAGTTTTTTTTCACTTAATATCGTTTCATGAGCATTTCCTCATGTATTCAATAAAATGTCTTTATTACCATCATTTTTGGCTTAATAATATTTTCATATAGATGCATGATAACAAATATTCTATTTTTGGACATTGTTGTTGTTTCTAGACTTTTGCTATTGTAATATAGCCTGGTGATGATCATTCTGGCCAATAAATTTTTGTTAATATTTTTGACTAATCAAAGCCACAGGATAAATATTGCTTATTGGTGTCCAATTTTAAAGTAAACTTTTTAGTTTAAGAAATAGTATGTGTTCATTACAGAATAAGAAGTTATTTTTTAAAAACTAGAAAAAGTGTGGTCCTATCAATCAGAAATAACAAATATATCAAAAATGCATATTATTTACAAAGTTGAAAGCATAATATGGAAGAATCCTATTTTTTCATTGAATATCATAAAACCATTTTCTTAATGTTTTTACAAACCCTTTGTAAATATTTTTAGTAGGTACATATACTGTAATTTAATAATAATAGGGGAATCGAACTATTAGTAGATACTTAATGTGATATCTTAATTTTTACCTAATAAAATTATAGGCTACAACAAATGCCTCTGTGTATATAGTTTTCTTGTGGAGGAGGTGAAAGTTTGAATTACTAGAATAGATTCTCAGAAGTGAAATTACCAAGTCAAAAGACATGAACAATTGAAAGGCACTTGATAGAGATTTTTTTCCCCAAAGTGTTAAACCATAAGTGTCATATGAAAGCTCTCTAAATGGATACTTTTTAAAAGGAAGGAAGCTAATATTTACTGAATACCTATTATTTTATTTTATTTTTAATATGCAGTAAAAATTACCTTTTTTTTAGTGTACAGTTCTATGAATTTTAACACATATATGCATTTGTGTAACCCCCACAACAATCAGGATACAGAATAGATCCATGACCCCAAAAACTCCCATGTGCTGCTAGCATGTAGTCATACTGTTCCTGAAGTCCTAACCCTCACAACAACTAATCTATTCTCCATTGCTGTGGTTTTATCGTTTTCAAAATGTCTTACAAATGGACTCATCAAGTATGTAACCTTTTGACACTGGCATATTTCACTTAGCATAATGCCTTTGAGATCCATTCAAGTTTTTGTGTGTGTCAATAGTTTATTCTTTTTCATTGCTGAGTAGTATTCCATTGTATGGATGTACCATAGTTTATTTATCCATTCACCTATTGAAGGATATTTGGGTTGTTTCCAGTTTGGGGCATTTGTGAATAGAGCTGCTATAAATATTCATGTACAAGTTTATGTGTGAATGTGTTTTCATACCTAGAAGTAGGATTATTGGATTGTTTGTTTTCTTACTATTGAATTTTGAGAGTTCTTTATGTATTCTGTATACAAATCCTTTGTTAAATATGTGATTCGTAAATATTTTCTCCCAGTTTGTAGCTTGTCTTTTTATTCTCTTCCAAGTGTCCAAACTTTTGCAGATAAAACTTTTTTATTTTGATGAAATCCAATTATCATTTTTTTCCTTTATGGATTAAACTTTTTGGTGTCATATCAAAGGATTCTTTGCCTAACACCAGGTCACAAAGATTTCCTCATGTTTTCGTCTAAGAATTTTATAGTTTTATGTTTTACATTTCAGATCAATGATCCATTTTGAGTTAATTTTTGTAAGAGTTGGGGGTTTTAGGATAAGATTCTTTTTTTTTTTTTTTGCTTATGAATGTCAAATTGTCCTAATATCATTTGTTAACAATATTATCCTTTCTTCATTGAATTGCATTTGCACCTTTCTCTCTATTTACAAAAAAAAATCCCTCTGAGGTTTTTGGTTTTAATTTGATAAGTGTTTTCCTGATATGTCTTTTTTTGTCTGTTTGCTTTTAACCACCTATACCATATTTAAAGGGGGTTTCTTGTAGACAGCATATATTTGTGTCTTGTTTTATTATCCATTCTGACAATGTCTATCTTTTCATTGGTGTATTTAGACCATTCACATTTAATGTAAATATTGATATATTTGTATGTATGTCTAGCATTTTATTATTTGCTTTCTGTTTATTTCCTCTGTTTCTCATTCCATTGTTTCCCCTTTCTTGCCTTCTTTTGGATAATTTGAGTTTTTTAATATTCTATTTTAAATTGTTTGTTGAGATTTTTACTATGTCTCTTTGTAAATTTTTCTAGTGGTTGCTCTTAAGATTACGGTATACATACTTAACTTTTGACAGTCTATTTAGGATTAATATTTTACTATTTCAAGTGGAATGTAGAAATCTTACTGCCATATAAGTCCCTTTAACCTTCCCACTTTTGATTACGTTGTCATATATATTATATCAGGCATGTGATATTTTTTAACTGTCATATATATATTTTAAAACTTAAGAGAAAAAATAGTCTGAAATATTTATCCAGATATTTACCAGATCTGTTGCTCTACCTTCAATCCTGATAGTCCAAGTTTCCCTCTTATATCATTTTCCTTCCATCTGAAAATATTCCTTTAGCATTTCTTTGAGAGCAAGACTGTTAGAAGTGAATTCTCTTAGTTTTCCTTTATCTGAAAATGTCTTTATTTCACCTTAATTTTTGAAGGATATTTCTATAATTAGAATTCTGGGTTGATAATTCTTCCCACCACCACCCCACCCACCCCACACTTTACAAATGTTATTTTACATCCTTTTGACCTGCATGGTTTCTGATGAGAATTCTGCATTCAAGTCATTGTTTCCCTATGTGAGATGTGTTGTTTTTCTCTGGCTGCTTTCAAGATTTTTTTATTTGTCTTTAGTTTTCAGCAGTTTGATTATGATGTACTGGGCATGAATTTCTTTGAGTTTAGCCTGTTTGGGGTTCACTGAGTTTTTTGAATCTGTGAGATTATGTCTTTCACAAAATTTGGGAGCTTTTCAGATGTTATTTCTTCAAATATTTTTTCCGCTCCACATTCTTTCTTTTCTCCTTCTGGGATTCTGATGACACAAATGTTAGACCTTTTAGTATTGTCCCACAGGTAGGTTCCTGAGACTCTGTACATTTTTTTCAATCATTTTTCTCTGTTTAAATTGTATAATTTCTCTTGCTCTATCTTCAAGTTCACTGACACACACACTCTTTCTAAAATTATACTAAGCCCACCCAAAATTTTCAATTTCAATCAATATATTTTTCAAGTGTAAACTTTCCATTTGGTTCCTCTTTATATCTTCAGTTTCTCTGTTGACATTCTCCATCTTTCCCTTTATTTCAGGAATATTTGCCCTTACTTCTTGGTGCTTGGTTATAACAGCTATTTTAAAGTCTTTGTCTGACAATTCTACCATCTATGTCATCTTGGAATTGATATCTATTGATTGTATTTTCCATTGTGAGTTGAAATTTTTCTGGTTTTTCATATGCTGAGTAATTTTGGATTGTATCCCAGACATTTTTAATATTTGAGTCTTATTTAAATCCTAAGGAGAATGTTGATTTTTTGTTTGTTTGTTTAGCAGGCTATCAGCCAGGTTAATCTCAGACTGCAAGTTCTGACCTGCCTTCTGTGAACTGTGGGGTTCTGATGTTAGTTCTGTTTTCAAAGCATTTATAGTGCTGTCTAGATTAATCCCTTGTGTATGCTACCCAGTACGCAGTCTGGGTCCTGGGTGGTGGTCTGCCCTGTGGCTCATTCGTCAAACCCTCTCTAAGGTCAGATCCATGCATGCTGAGCTTAGAGATAAGCAGGAGTTCATACACAACTTTATGGGACTGCTGTCTTGATCACCGTCCTTTCTGTATTCATCCCAGGACTTTCCAGCTCCCCAGAACCTGTCTTCCTGGTTCTCTGACCAGAAAGCTGGAGCTTTAATTTTGTTCTTCTGCCATGCAATTCGTGTGACTGTGTCTACACCTGGGGCCAGGCTGTGGGAAGATTGAAAGAGGCAAAGAGTAGTGGGAATTTTCCCCCTGCTCTTGGAAGCACAGCTCCTCTGATTAGGGGAAAGTATTCCTTTCCTCAGAGTTGTAGGAACCTGCCCAGCTGCCGCTGCCATCGCTGTGCTGCCGCCTCTGCTGCTGGCACAGTATTGCCTGGTGCCTGGGGAAGGAGAGAAGGGAAAACAACCCAGGGGATTTCCTCTGCTTGCTCCAACCCTTATGAGTTCACTTTCCTGCTCCTTGGTCTAGAAAAAAAGGGCTTTTCTTGGAGCTCTTTTGTCCTCACTTGGTGTATACTTCTGGGCTTCAGGCTTCCTTTGAGTCCAGGCCAGGCAATTCTGGAAGGGGAAAAAAGGGTGGGTAAACTCACCACGGATTTGGTAGAACTCAGAATTCTGGTTTCTTCCCCCAATCTTCTTTCTACCATTTACTTTTCAGAGTCCTCAGATGGCTGTTCTATGTTTTCTGTCCAGGAATTATAGTTGTGTGCAGTGGAAGAGACAGAGTAGAATATGCCTACTCCATCTTCCCTAGAACCAGAACTGTTATGTTTTAAGACTGTGCTTTATATCAGATATCTCATCTAATCTCAAACAGCTCTGAAAGATAGTTATACCCGTTTCGCCAATGAGGGAGACTAGACACAAGTAGTTAGGTAATTTTCCCAAAATCATAGAGATAATAAATGGTGGAAAAAATCTAAAATCTAAGCCAGAAGTGTCTTGTTTCAAAGTTCATGAAGTGTTTTACTTTCAAGTAATTTCTGTTAATATGCTTCTTTTTTTTCCTACTTAATAATAGATATTAAGGCATATACCACAAATTGGAATCGAACTATTTAATTATAATGTTTTTGAAACAAGCTTATTTAAACTATTTCTATTACTAATTTTTATAGGATTTGAAGCTCCTAATAATTATTCAAATCTAATTAATTTTACTCAGCAAATACCATGTATTACCTATGCATCATTCTATATGGGATTCAGAGTTAATTCAAAGAGAGAGAGCCTATCCTTAGGATGCTTCTGGGCTACTCAGAAAGACTTATAAATGCAAAAAATAACTACAATAAAATAATGAGATAAAAAAGAGATAAAAAATAAAGTGCAATGGGAATTTGAGAAAGACTACTTCTAAGTAGGGATACAAAGAAAACATATTTCCATCTATAAAATTTAAAAAGGTGTCAAATAATATGTATGTTTACACGTGAGACAGGACCACAGAAGTTTTTATTATAACAGCGCTTATCCCTGAGTGATTTCTTTAATGTTACAAACAGGTAGGTTTTATCATTTATGTCTGTATGCTTCTTACCAACCCCCTAAAACAGCTTTTTTACATGAATGTAAATTTCAAACAGTCTATTTGGGAAAGATTTAAGTAAACCAAAATGTTTGCAAATGGTTTATTGGTAACCAAGGTTTAAGGAGTCAAAAATGACCCTTCATGAGTTATATATATTTAACATTTAGAACTTTATGTTAAAAATATTTTTGTTTCTGTTTTCAATAGAAAAGAAACATTTGTTTGCATAGGAATTCATGAAGGTGACCCAACCTGGAAAAAGAACTATTCACTTTGGCCATGGGGTTCTTGTGACAAATTAGTTCCTTCAGAGATTGTATTCAACCCTGAGGAATGGATTAGACTTACAAGAAATATCTACAACTGGACTGAAGAATATGGAAGGTATGAAGAGCAGTTATATTTTTCATCAAATTATAGCAATTTTGTGTGCCTAAAAAACTTACTAAACTTTGAGATGTCTTTTAATTTTTTCGTTTTGTTTTTTATTAGTTGTTAATGTTGTTATTTTGCTGCCCACCGAGCATCATAATAGAGAAAGAGAACGTGTATTTCTTGTCCTCATGTTTGAAGGACAGTGAGGAGGTAGAAGGGAAAAGGAGGCTGTGCTTGTGGACACCACAGCAGGTAGATGCTGCACCTTCCACTTCCAGCTCTCATAAGGCTGTATTATCCACCATCCTACATCTCATACCCTCAAAGGGGAAGAAATTCATTAACTGCAGTAGAGATTTAAAAGGCACTCTGTTTTGCGCATAGTTTCCACATGCATAAACGTCATATTTTTCTTTCTTCAGGAATGGCAGTTAACTTCTCTATAGGGAAGACTGGGACTTAAGTAACTTTTTCTTCACAGTTATTTGTCATCAGCCTGGTTATGCTGTTTTGGGCATGATTAGTCTTCCTTGAAGCATTTCTACATAGAGTTGACTCTTTCCCATATGGAGAATGAGTCACCATCTAAAGAAATGTGCTTCTATTGCCTATTTTTAAAATTATGAATTATTTACAACTTACATAATTATTGCTTATAATTCAAGAACAACAGGCAAGATCATATGAACAAATGCTACCAAGGTTTTTTGAATCAATAAGAGCAAACAGACCTCATTGCTGTGCACCAGCTGGAGATGGATAAGTAGGTCTACATCAGAGCACTCTGTGACCATTGTGAGGGAAAGTTAGAAAATCACCCATTCTCCAAGCAGCCGACAGCAGCACAAGTACGCAACATCACTCCTTATCTCCATTCTGTCAAAATAGATACATAATAAGAGAAATTTTAATTAAGAGAAAAAAAAAGCCAGCAAGTGGTTTAGCCAGTGTTCTTCGGGCAGCTTCCTAGTTCCCGCAATAATTTATCAAAGCCAGGAGTCCCCTCTCCTCAGGCTTATTCCCTTACTTCACAGCCCATTGGCTCTTAGCTGTGTCCGTAGAGTGACCCAGGCCTCAGCCCCACACTATGGCCCATCTAACAGTTCTTAAGAACAGCTGGCTCCCCAGATGCCTCCAGCCTCTCCCCACTAATCCTTTGTTTGCTCCCATGAGGCACTGGGGCTCATTATGGAAATTAAGAACACATTTGCCAAAACCACAAATTCCTAACAATTGAACTTTTCTAGGAGAGTAAGTTTATTATCTTGTTCCCTATTAGCACTTCAAGGCCTATTTTATTGGCCTTGCAAGATTGCAAAATCAAGATTACACATCCACAGCAATAAATGTAGCTGACAATAATGTTACTGTTGTCTTGTAACTACAGGTTTGATCCATCTTCTTGGGAATCTGTGGCCAATGAGGAGATGTGGCAAGCAAGGTGACTAATCAACGTTTTTGTGTTTGCAGCCTATTTTTAATATGGCAGAGAAGTAGCTTTATGTGGCACTTTTCATTTTGGGAGTAGGGGTGAGTGGTGATAATAAAAATAACTTTTATGATCACTTATTTTCTTTGAGGCATAATACTAATCATTATACATACATAATCTCATTTCATCCTCACAACACCCTGTGAAGAAGTTATTATTATCCCATTCTACGAAAGAACAAACTGGAGGTAGAGAGGTTGCTTGTCCGAGGCCACATAGCTACTAGAGATAGAGTCTGAGCTCACATCTGTCTGACCCTGGAGCACTCATAACTCCTGTGTTCTCTTGCCTCAACTAAAGCAAAGAGAGCGCAGCTGATTGAGGAGAAGGTAAGAGGACCTTGGCTCCATGTGTCATGTGCTAATTAACTATTTAAGCATTTATTGAAGGCTTACTAGAGGCCAAGCACTGTGCTAGGCAGGGAAGCTACACATATGAATATGGCCCAGTTCCCACCCTCAGGGAGCTCAGTCTAAGGGAGCAGGCAGATTTGTGAAAAGAGATTTGCATATTAATGTGCTAGATGCTGTACTTCCCTGTTGTTTCTTTATAGAACACTTTATGGTGATGCTGTTGACTCTCTTTGTTCCTGTCATTATATTAAAATAATCAAAATATCTAACAATAACAGACTTTGGCCTAAATATTAATGGAAAAGTCCTAAGTGATGCAGACAGGGGTACCAAGTACTTGTGAAGTACTTCCGTCAGCAAAAATGTATTGATGCGCACTCTGGGCCAGAGACTGAGCTGTGCACCGAGAACTGAGTTATAGTGTAAAGGCCTCACATAAGTTTAAAGAGATTTTTAAAAAGTTGTCAAGAAGTACAACTCCAAAATAACAATTATAAAAATAGATATACTATAGTTTTTGCAGTAGTGTCTTTTAAAAAGTCAGAAAACAGCATATTTCAAGTTATCAGTCTAGTTATAGGGGCAAATACTTGCTTATAAGAACTGATCAAAGATATACCGTATCTTTGCACAGTTCTTCACTGTGATTGAATGTGGGAAAGCTGGGGGAGAAATCACATAAAAGAAGAAAGCAGGTCATTATTCGGGCAGGTATTGATTTAAGTGGTGTGCTGAAGACACGTTGGTGAGTTCATGTGGTCAGAGTCCAGCCACCTTTGAAGCACTGGTCACACATGGCATGAGCCTTTGCGATGGGCACCTTCAGGGATGTGCTGACCAACTCAGCAAGTCTTCCCCTCCCCAGCTGCTCTTGCATAACAATAATGCACCTCTGGAGGAAGAACGATGCCCAATAGTGATGAGGATCATAAGCTTTATTCTAAAAGATTTGGCAGTCAGTGTGAATACAGTATCTTGCAGTGGGGGAAGTAGGGGTTGCTGTTGGTTCAGAGTAAATGTCTATGAATATGAGAAGTAAAAATAATACAATAATGGCTTTTGTATGTTCCTTATCAATGAGAAAGTCTGGTAGATTTAGCTTTGAATATGAAATTGACAACATGATTTTAATGAAGGTTCCCACCTGCCCCACAACACCAGGATGAAAACGCCGTTCTTCATCTTTAACCTGGCAGAAACAGCAAATATACCTTCAAATGTGAAAGCCCAACTCTACACTCATGCGTATAATGTAGGTTATACTTTTATATATATCATCATATTTGGTGATTGTTTGGGATGGAGGGAGGGTATATCACAATAGAGTTTTTATTTTTTCGTTTCCAGCTTTTTTTGGCAGTATAAAGCAGTATAAATGGAAAAATACTCATATGTATCACAAATAATGTCTAAAGTAAATGGCTGTGGTAGGCAAAATAATGGCCCCCCATAAAGATGTCCATGTCCAAATTTCCAGAACCTGTAAATATATGACCTTACGTAGCGAAGGGGACTTTGCAGATGTGATTAAGTTAAGGATCTTGAGGTGGGGAGAGTATCCTAAATTATCCAGGTGGGCCCAATGTAATCACAGGGGTTCTTATAAGGAGGAAGCAGGAGGTTCAGAGTCAGAAATGTGACAATGCGAGCAGAGGTCAGAGAGAAAGATTTGAAGATGCTATACAGCTGGCCTGGAAGATGGAGGAAGGGGCCACAAGTTAGGGAGTACAGGTAGCCTCTGAAGATAGAAAGGGCAAAGAAACAGATTCTAGAGCCTCTAGAAGGAAGACAGCACTGTTGATTTTACAAAAACTTTCATTTTATGACTTTTGACCTCCAGAAATGTAAGATAATAAATTTATATTGTTTTAAGCCACTACGTTTGTGGTGATTTGTTACAACAGCAATAGGAAACTAATATCTTAGTTTTATAAAAAAGAAAGTCTGATAGGTTGCCTTCTGTGCAGAAGTCATGACCCTGGCTACACTTGCAAGGATAGGGCCATGGCTGGGTGAGATTTCATGAGAAAAATAAAAGGTCTTAGACAGTGGCTCTGTCTTCTAACTGTGGTCCCAGAAAGCCAAACAGACCTTCAGATGACCCCGCCACACTGAGGCTCTTGTGCAGTCGGTCCTCTCTGATGGGAAGTGGGGGTACAGAGCAGAGGCTTGCTGCAGCACTGTTTTAGCAAGTCCCTGCTTTTATGGGATTTATAGCACTGGGCTCTTCAGACACCTTCAGAGAGAGTCTTGGAGCCTGCTCTGTAGGAAACAAACGTGTTGGCAAGAGCCAGTGAGAACAGAGCCCAGGGGCTATAGGTATGAGCGGTGGAGGTATTCCTGCTCTCTTGAGGCTGCTGTGGATCTACTCAGCCAGGGCACTTGTTTCATGCCAAGTCAAATAGCATGATGGCCAATCAGGATGACTGATTTTACTCCTAAATTTTGTGATCATTGGCTCATTGTTTGTTCATTTATTCATTCACTCACAGAACATTTATTGACCACCCAGTCTGTACACAATACTGTGGTGGAGACGATCAAGCACTGTCCCTGCTATCGAAGAGGTGGCAGGTGAGAGAGGGAGATAGAAGGTAGAGTCCTCAGTTGGGGTCAGTCTCGTAAGTGATAGAAGAGGTTGGCAGAGGTGCTGTGGGAACACCTTCCAGGAGAGGAAGGTGGTGAGGAGGGAGGGAGGGCTTCCAGAGGAGATGTCACTGGAGTGTCGTCTTGAATGATCAGAAGGAGCTAGCCAGACATACGGTGGAGCAGGGTAGTGACAGAGAGGGGGAAGAAGGACAGGCCATAAGGAGGGAACCACAGAGACAAAGGCAGGACCCTCCAAGGTGCCCACTCGAGGACAGCAAGTGATTGATTATAGGAGGCAGCATGCTGGAGTTCTGTCCAGCAAGCCAGAGGTCCAGGTTCAAGGCCTGCTAATTGTCAGGCTGTTAATTGTGAAACTGTGAGTCAGTTAACCTTTCCAGTTGTGGATTTTTTCTAAAAAAAAAAAACCAAAACGTGAGCCTTAAACTTTATAGGTTATCTCTTGTATCCTGGTCGTATCATATCGTGTTTATCTCTAGTACTCTGCGATCCTGTGAAAAACAAGAGGTATTTAGTTGGGAGAAATCTGAGACTTACTACTATTTCATATTCTCATCAGTAATCTGTTCCATGGTCAGTTGTTAGGCCACTACTGAAGCTAATTCATGGATTTATTGTCCCTTTGGGCTTGTAAGCTTTGCTCTTTTCTGTGAACACAAGTCTATAGCACAGTCTATAGGTGTCTCCTCTAAGTACGTCTCCAGATGTGTGACATTGTTTGCAAGACAAATGAGGCCAAATACTTGATGGGTCAACACAAATCCAGCCCCCAGTACTGGTTTTTCAAGAACATTCTTTTTTGGATGTAAAAGATTTTTGTTATTATTTACATTATCCTACTCCATAGCTTGTACAGGAGGACATTAAGTTAGGGGACATTAAGTTCAGGTGTAGTGGGGGAGCAGGGAGTATCCCAGTCATCCTTAGGATACATTTGATAAGTTAAAGATGTCCCCAATAAATGGAATACAGTCCACTAAGACTATTGTCGCAGTAACACACGCACACAGAGGAAGAAATATAATTCCATGTGATGAGAATGACTGGCTTTTTAAGATATGGCTCTTGTGTCTTAATGGGCCATCCAGAATATGTTGATGATGCGTCAGTAACAAGTGCTCTGGAAAAGGATGGTCTGGAGGTTCTAATTCCTGAAGACAATAGCAAGGAGGTCATGAGTGAGCCTCATTGTCTTGAGACGTTGGGGAAATGCTCCCTGAAGTGTTGGCGTCTGTTTTGAACTCCACAACCTTAGTAGGACTTTGAAAACTTGGGAAAGTAGAGAACCGGAGGAGTTCCTGAGTACCTCCTCTGTGCCAGGCAGCGTGTGTGCACTTTACACACGGCCCTCATCGGAGGGCGGCTCTGGAAGAGAAACAGCGGACAGAAAGAAGACTATGAGGAAAGGTGGAGAAACTTTGAATATTTTACCAAGAAAAGAAAAGGGCAGGAGGCTGACTTAATAGCTTTGATGTATATGGAGGTATGAGGCAACTCTTTCCTATCTTACAGAGTGAAGGAAACTAAGAGGAAAATTGCTTTAAAAGGCAGCTTGAAGACTGAGGGTCGTTACAGATCAAAATGACATGTCAGACACGGGGTGGGGACTTTTTCATGGGATGCTATTTTGAACTAGGTTAGATGTGTGTTTGTCTGCTCTGGAGTAGGGGTTGGGGAAATAGAGATTGTGATTTGGTCACTTTCAACTGAATGGCATGGTGAGGACAGTTGTCATCCAGAAAGCACTTGTCCTGGAAAATGCACCATTGCTTGTTCTGTGCTCTCATGGGGTCCATGGGTAGACTCAAGATCCTGCAAGTCCCGCTTCAATTGATAATCACCAGGAAGGCTGTGAAATTCCCAAGTAAGCAAGGGTAATATTCCATTTTGCAGATTTGTATCCACTTTTTTGTTTATTTGTTAAATTTTGATGTTTTTCCTCTGGAAAATTCAATATCAAAAATTTTAACTCTTTCCAATTAGTATTATCTCTGATGTTGAACAACAAAATTCCAAATTCCTGTGGGCAAAGTTTTAACTATGAAAATTGTAACGATGGGATACTGTGAAGATTTTCAATATCTCACTTTAAGGATGTCTCTTAAATTCTGTTATGCCCAGCCTTTTTGATGCTGAATTTGTTTGAGTTGCTTTATTGTTGCTATTGTTATTACTGTTGTTTTTAATGTAGAGAGAAATTTATGTAAAAATGAGGGACAAAATTTAAATTCCTTAAAGTTCTTTTTCCGTGCAGTTTCTAAAGAAAGCTATTTTTTTCTCCAACAGCTAAATTTGGAGTTTCAACTTTTCTGCCTGTTGAGTAAACAGCTTTCCGTGAATTAGGACTAAATCCTTTTCCCAACATCTTTCTGGAGGAAGAGCATCTTGTCCCGACACAGTGTGTCTTAGGTTCCCTCTCCAACATCTGAAAACCCCAGAAGCAGTTTTAGATGACTCCTGTAATAATTACAGTAGCATCCTTACATTTTCTGCATGGCCTAGCAACGATTAGATTTTTACTGTAGGCTGCTTTGATTTCTTTCCTTATGTTATTAATTCCTCTGTGTTTTCTGTGTTTTGAAAAAGAGTCAAGGGATAACAGTGGAATACCAACCTTTTTGCTGTTTTCCAGCTTTATAAGGAGATTGTCTATTTACAAAAGGAACACCCAGTGAATTGGCACAAGAACTACGCCATCGCCTGTGAGCGGATGCTGCGCCTGCGGGAAAGAGGTGCAGACCCTGAAGTCTTGTTATCGGAAACCATCAGACATTTCCGTCTCTACACTCAGAAAGCACGGAATGATCCACAGCTGGCTGATATGTTAATTGCTCTAAAGCACCTAAGAAAAGAACTGCAAAGTCTGAGAAATATGAAAAATGTCTGAGACAGCAAAATGTGAAAAACCTGCTCCTCATTCAGCTTCCAAAATTCCAAAGTCCAAAAGTTTTTCATCCAAGAAAAGAAACCATATGAAAAATTGAAAACTAAGTCATCTCCTAAATATAAGGAACATAGTACAGCAATACTGTTTAATGGAGGGTTCAGTGACGGAGATGTGCTATTAATGCAAATTCTGTTTAACCCGTGTTACCAAATTACAATTTCAGTGAGAATCTTTCAAAAAATCTTCCCACTTCCACAGTCTTTCACCAAATGACTGTGCTTGAGTAGATTCTAGAAGAGAATGAACTATTTTCATGTACTTAAAATATCAACCATGAATCTTCTAAGGGCCCTGACTATTGGGATTGGTTTTGAAGGATAAATTCTTAAAACATCAATAACAGACCAAAGACATTCTGTGTTTCCCAAAAGGGAAATCTTTTAGAGAGTGAATCTTGTTCTGCTTTAAGTTAGAATACTTCTTTTTCTTTCTTCTTCTTTTTTTTTTTTTTTTTTGAGTAGCTGTGGTTGTTGCATAATCTCACACTTCAAGCTAAACACCAACTGGGTGATATTTTGAAAAAAGTTGAGGTTTTATTGTCTTAGATAATTCTCTGAAATCACTAAAACATATAGCTAATTTGTTTGCTTTTTTTTAAGTTGCATAAACTGATTGGCAAGTAAAAAGGATTTTGTATTTCCTTAATTAATTTTCTATTTATGTTTTACTTCTATTTGGGCTCATAAATCTGGGCCCAATAATTAGGCGGCTCCTGCTGCCAAAATGCAAAAAAAAGGCGGGGATTGGGAGGAGGGGATGGTGAAGTGGTTCAGTAAATTCATTTCTGCTACAAGCATCTTTTATACATATTACTAAAGCGAACATAGTAAGAAATGCAAATAATAGTTATTTATTTTATTATGACAGTTAATTAATAGCAACCTGTTTTAATGAATAAAGTCACTCAGAGTCCTTCAGCACTTCCTAAGTAAAGGCTAGAATCTGTAGGGATTCTTTTCCCCCCAATTGTATAGCTCCTAGACTCCAAGCACTATATAGGCCCCTGTATAGAAATGCTCACTAATGAAGAGGGAGGGCTAGAAGCTTGTCTGCATTCAAAGATCACTGGTGAGTCATTCAGCAAGAAAAGGCCCCTTACCAGGAATAGTCACAGTTCCGTGGCATTGTACTAGCAAAAGGGTCTGATCAAAGGTCTCCTGTGGAGCTTGCATGGTTCCCTTTCATACTACGACCATAATTAAAACCACTAATTCTCTTTTAAAATGCTGCAGGATGCCATGTAGGCATCTGTCTGGAGTGTCCTTTGTGATGTCATAAGCTGTTAAGGACCAGTGCGGAGGGCTTTTGAGTGAAATGCCAGTCATGAAGGTGCTTCAAGACAAGGGTGCCTCGAAAAGCTTGACAGGGCCTTGACTGCACAATTCGAGCTGAATTTGCCCCTTGTCAGCTGCCAGTAAATAAATCTCAAAGGGGAGAAGCTGAAGTTTCATTACCTGATCCATGGGGCTTTGTTGGTTTTGGCATCACACAGGGGAAGCTCTCGCCCTCCATTCTCTGGGTTTGAAGATGTCCATTGGAGCCTGCAGTGCCTGGACAGGGTTCAGAGCGGACCCTTTTGAAGAGTGTCAATAGTTGTAACAGTTCAGCTGTTAGGAAGACAAATAAATGGAGGAGCTCATTAATCCGCTTTTGGCTCTCAGTGCCTTTTGCCCTTTTATCACAGCCTTATTAGGCTCCTACTCATCTTGAACCAGAAAAAAGTGAATTGAAGTTGTTGAGTACTAATTGGCAAAGACTTTTAATCATGGGCCAAGAACTTTCACTGACTTGAAAGTAACTTCTCCACAGGGAAGAACCAAAAACCTGGTTTACCTTAAAACAAAAACCTGTTGGAGTTCAGTGTGGTGTAAAAATTTAAGGAAGCATTGATAAATTGTCTAAGTTTATCCATTTGAAAGAAATTCTGTAAGATTATGATTTCCACTTAAAAAAACGTACAATAAAATTCAAATAAACATTCCCTGGAAATATGTTGTCTTTATTGGTTCAGCAGAGAGATTGCATGCATATGTGTTGGTCATGTTTATTTCTGAACATCTATATATATGGAGGTAAATATTCATTTGAGCATCTACATACACGTGGTATTGGAGGAAACTTATTAAAAGTAATATTGCCTATTTATGGTTTTAAGAATAGCCAATGAAGGCCTTTTTTTTGAGAATATCTGCTTTTTAAATTTGTGTATACTATGGTGTCTACGTATATGTCTGAATATGCTTTGTGTATTGACTGTTGCCAAATGGTACATGGATTGTTCTGTATTTGCAACAATGGCTTTGGACCACTCTCTCTTGGAGAAAGCAGTGATATGATGGCCTAAAGTAGATAGTATCATAATTATTTAAATTTCTAAAAACCTTGAGTAAATGAAAAAGTGGCAAACTGAGCTAGATTTTGGAATGTTGGGCTTCATTCCCAGATCAAGTACTTTGAGGAATTCTCTCCTTTCTATTTGTGAGGTTAAACAAGTTGCTTTCTTTTTCTTTCTCTTACTTTTCGTTGGCTGGTGCACAAACACCATAAAACCTGACAGAATGAGTTTCCTGTAGTCTAAGCCTCGCCATGGAAGAGAACGTGGAGGAGGTGACTTCTCATGCAGGATTTGGCCAGCATTCTCCTAGCAGTGTCCCTGGAGTGCCATGTGTTGGCAGGACGACAGGAACCCCACAAGGCCAACTTCTGCCTGGACTTTGGCCTGAGGAACAAGTGGGAGCCAGCAAAACTGCTTCTCCACATACTGCAGTGCCCACCTGTCCAGCCCGGGGGAGGGGGGCAGTGCACCCTGGAGGGCAGTGGAGAAGGGGATGTGGCCCCATGTTATCTCACACACCTCCCTAGCCCTGTTCCCCTGATGGCAGGTGTGCTTGCTTCTTGCTATTGACTTTCTTCTTTTCTTTGTTTTTTCAAAGGGCCCATTATTTAAAAAATGCTTTTGTTCTATTACTCAGAATGCAGCCAAATTAGAAGGGAATCAATTACTAGCATACTATTTTGAAATCTTCAAATAGAAATTGTGAAAAGTTATTTCTGTCCATATCTTCTTATTTTCTTGTAATAGAACCATGATGTTTAGTCTTTATGCTATTTAATTAAAGCCATTATAAGTGCTAGGAGTATTTTATGATACCCTGCTGATTTCTTTAAGTCATCAGGCTGGGATATGAAGAGTAGTTTTTTAAATTTATATTTTAAAAGTTAAACAATGTGAGTCCTTAATCATAGGTCCCACCAATATCCCTCAGAATTTAAAAATCTTTTAATACTTTTAATAATCACAAAATACTTTTGATAATCACAAAATACTTTTAATAATAAAAAAATTTAATACCAAAGGTTGAAAAAAAAATGGATCCTGTTACAGTAAGTCCTTTTACTCTGTTTTAATTTTGGTATGTTTTATAAATGCACCAATGTAGGGTATTTCTTAAAATTCTGTTCTAACTGACTCCAAGTCCTATGGTTAGGTAAAGAAAATTATCACCCTAAGGAAAACAATTCACACTCCTTTGTTCATCCTCATATTTTGTTGTGGATGCAAAAATCTTCTCAAGCTTATTATACTCACAAACAAATAAGTAATGTTTCCAAGATTCTGGGAACATCTAAAGGCCAAGATCTTGGCACAGCATTACAGAGCAAACAGGGAGCTAAGGCTGTAGCAGCGATCGTGGTCAATGAAGACGTCATTGTCAGTACTCTCCAAAGGTCTGTTTGATTTGGATCAGCATGGGTGGTAGAAAAAAGGCCTCAGGAATAGTGCAATAGCTACCTGGATATAGGAAAGTCAACTAATAGTAATGTATCTTGAGAGGGATTTTTCTGGAAAAAAAAAAATACCTGCTTGTTCTTCAACAGTGTAACATATATTTGTTGGAAATTGTATGTGCTGGGAGGATTAGCTTATGTCATATTGCAAAAAAAAAAAAAAAAGGTGATGAGGAGAGACAAGTAGAAGTCCCAAAACTATAATTACGAAGCCAGCAATTATGGACCTGTAAGTGGAGTTATCTGGATCTTTTCCACAGATCCAAAGTGTTATTGGTAAGCGTTCGTTTTCAGCAATATAGATATTGTGATGTTTTAGAAAAGTTGAGTTGATAGGGCTGAGAAAGTTTGAAGATATAGATCAGGAACACAAAGGCCAATAACTGGGCCATGTCCCTATCCCAGTGACCCAACTTCACAGAGCACCCGAGCAGCCTCAAGTCTTTCTGTGCATCGTTGCCATTAGATGAGGATGATGTTAGAGATCTAATCAAAGATATATAGAAATAAGCCAGATTTAACTCGTTCACAATTTTAATTGTTAAGAATTTGTTATAAATCTGTATAGTAGTATCTGGGGAAAAAGTATGATAGAAGGAGTATGATCTTTATAATGGTAAGTTCATTCTATATTATATATTATAAACTAATGAATGGATATTATGTCCTGTTTTTTAAAATATACAAACAAACCATAATCATCTTCCATTTAGAAGTATTACCTGAAAAGGGGTTATTTTATAATGTAACCTTTTAAAGAAGATATTTTGACATTTCTCTCATCTAAATGAAATATTCCCTAGATGGTTGAACCGTTGGAAATAACCCTAACCTGTGGTTGTCGCTTGTACACAAAAGTGTGTGTGATTAAAGCCAGAAAGGGACATTGCTTGAGAAATCAGACCCAATTTTCTCATCCTTGGATTAAAGTATGATGGAACCTAAATGAATCACCTACATATTGATGATGCCCTAGATCCTTGAGTATCATCTAAGACACAGAAATCCCTGTAATACCCTGTCGCACCAAGACTTGAACTCAAAAGCTGCAGCAGAGGGTCCTCGGGGGACTTGAGGACAGAGTAAAAGATGCAAGGACTAGAATCTTCTTACAGTATCTTCCCTCAAAAGAGGTTTTCAAAGTGGAAGAAAAACATTATATAATTGTTTTATTATTAACTGTGCTTTTAAAAGTTAATATAAAAAAATCAAAGGCTCTTTTAA